AAAACAGAGTTCGTAGGAGATCCATGGAAGACACCCTATACTTCCCAGCAGGAGCAAAGGTGGCGCCCCATGCTCCTCAGCGGGAGCGAAGACGGCGCCCTATGCTCTGCAGCAGAAGCGGAGACGGCGCCCTATGCAACCCAGTGGCGCCCTATACTTCCAAGCGAGAGCGACGAGGCCCAATCTTATTTAGTCTCTCCCTTCACCGGCAGGAGATTTGTTGAATGTAGCAGACGATATGATTTACGATGATGAAGCATGAATGGACTCATGGTGGAAAAAAAAAAACAAAAAAACTCTGCCCTGCCGCTGTGTTGGTACGCGAGCTTTATAGCGCATTGGTGAGCCAGTTTTCTCAGTCCAAGCCTTATCGTTACCGACCTCGACATCTTTAGGAAATCAGACACTAATTACTTTAAATTTATTTGCAAGTTAGGATGATTATGAGTATTTTAAGTCAACAGAATAATTTTATGCGCTCCTGACGTCACCCGTGTGTTTATTCAGTTTTAGACAACGGACAATAAAGAATAGAATCATGCGTTGCCACTAAGTAAAAGAAAGAAAATACACTTACACGGAGAACGAAAGAAAAAAAGGAGTTGTAGGCTGTGTATCACGCATCAGACTTCATATAGTTAATATTTTTTCTTAAAGATATGAGAATAGCTTCTTGTAAATGTTATCCTAAACTGACAATCGTGGAAGGCGTTATTTTGAATAATTTGCGCCAGAAAACCAAATACATAACAAACACTATCTGACTTCTTACCTTGTTATACTTAAATGTTCTCTTTGAGTTTGATCTTCTCCTTCTAGGGCATCTTGCAAACAGACATATGGGTCTCACATCTCGAGGAGAATTTTGATTTAGACTGCAAGTAGTTCCCGAGAAAACAGGGCCAAGAAAATATAAAACTAAAACTATGGAAACTAAGCAAGCGGTGAGTCTCGTGTTATGTTGTTTCATTGCTAAGGTATTTTAACTGTTTGGAACTCAAGTTCGGGTAAGTTTGAGTTCCACGTGTCGGTACTTGGCAGAGTGTGTGTTCTGTTGCGTTTGATCTATGTAATGCTGAAGTCTCTTCGTGCTGATAGCGTCGTTTATAAGAACTGGCCTAATGCATTTACTCAATAAGCCAAGCCATTAATCGCACGGTGGTGCGGGGAAGTTAATGTAGGGTTTTGAAAACTAAAAGAAAATCAATCAGCAGTGGTTAAACCTTCCTGTTTGTAAATTATATATTATAGCTCACCCCTCGTGACGTCACCAGCCGCACAGACTAATCTGAAATGGCTTTTTGATATGAAGGAAAAAGTCGCAATAATTCATAGCTTCGTGAAGAGGTCAGGGCCAGATTGAATTTATCGATTCCAGAATTATTTTATTCGAACGTTAATATCGCTAGAAGTTTGAAGCTTTCCTGAGTGTCATGGGGATAAACGTCCACTCTCGCGATTAGACAAATTTGATTACTCAGATATAACTAATATACCGCCCAGCTACAATGAGCAGATAATTGCACTTATACTTCAAAGGTTTTCTTTGATAGGGACGCGTTTCCCTAATTAACAACTCAATTTGTGGTTGATAAGACGAGCCGGCTGCAAATCACCATCGCGAGGGAGTGTTTTTTCGTTTGGTCGAAGAGAAAGCCATTTTTATTCTTAAAGGAAAAACAGTTTTCAGCACGCGGTAGGCTTTAATTTTTTGTGAAGGTGAAAATCAAGAACAATGATAATGACGCTTCAGTGAGATTTTTTTGGAAAATATTAGGAGTCTTTCATTGGCCGGTGGATTAAAAAGCTTATCGGCTTCTTCAGCTTTGTGCGTGTTTCGTTGACGTTCAAGCGTGGGACGATCTATCAATGGGGTAATAATTCTATCTTAGGAGTCAAGGTCGTAAGCTTATGCAATTCATTGTCATGAAGAATGCATATTAGACCGGTAAAACGAAGCAAGCCTTTTTCTTTAGCTTGTAAATCGTCTTAACTACGGAAGACGATATTATCTTCGGAGTGGATCTTCTGTTTTCTTCTATATTACAAAGAACTATTTCCTCCTCAATGCCAGATCTTTTTTTTAACATTTTTAGACGTTTCCTTTTTCAATTTTACTAGCCATAGGTTGTAACATTATGTGGCATGAGTCTCATTGTTGCACCTGCCGCTATCAAATGCAGTGACGCGCTGTGTTGAACCATTGTGTTCACATCCTAATTAAATCGTTTTGTAAAACAACAATAGGAAATTAGTGATTGGAAAGAAGGAAATAATATATTTCATTTATCTTTCCTTCTATCTTTCCGTGCTTCAAATGTCAGTTCAAAGGGTCACAAGGCAGTCTCACCATCCAGTTATTTCATAACAATGGCTATATTGAGATGCAAGGTAAAGACATTGTAAATTCAAAGAAATGAGAGTTCTAAATTTTTGCTGTCAACTTTTAATTGTCTTTTATAGAAATGCCAAATTTCATGTTAGCGTGCAAATTACTCTCAGAAAAGTTTCCCTTCATAGTGGAAAGAAAATGATAAATCGATTGATTTGAAGTCGAAAAGAAGTTCAAAGCAGCATCTCGCAAAAACGCAACAATTCGGCTGGACTTCGAGTCTTGTCATTGTCTTGTGAGTATGATATGACATTTTTTCAACCGAATGATAACTTTTGAAAGCTTTGCTGTATAAAAAAACCATCCACTCCTTGAAGAAATAAAAGTAAAAAACACTCAAGAATACTCAGAGTACAGTAAAAAAGACTTTCTTGAACAATGCTCTACAATGAAATATTCAATGAGCGAAATATTTCAATGCTAAGCTCGGAGAAAAAAAAACTTCTAGCCTTATTTCTATGCCGCACCTGCAAGTTTTTGATGAAAGTGAAACAGAGAACTACAGTACTGGTGGCCAATGTAAGTTATGGCAGAGTCTCAGTCTCGATATAGTTCTGATTCAAGACGTAAACTGATTTTCTGTGGTCACAAGTTTATACATTAAGCAGAAGAACTATTTACGATGGTGATGCTTTTTTTTCTTCTTAAAAAGAATTATTCTTGTAAAACTTCCATTGCCTTGATGGCAATGAAAGTTTCCGCAAATAAATCAAACATTACACATTTCAAATTCAATTAGGCTTTGATGCAATTTTTATCAATAGTAAGAAATTATCTTAATTCATTTTCGTCCTTCTTTGTTCAATTCCTCTTTGTTCTGAATCACTGTTTGAAGGAAACCGCAAATTTTTACACCAAGACGTTTGCCTAAGTAGTATCTGATTGCACAGAGTATAAACAAACTCATGTTCCCCTTCTCCTTTGACTTATAAATCTTTGAAAATCTCGCCAAGTTGTAGTATTGTACGAAAACCTGCAAGGTTTGTACAGGTATGCACTAAAGATTATCTTATTTAAACGTTTCGCACTCTTTAAGCCAGGAAAGCAGAGTGAAGTAAGAAGTAAAACTTGAATTATCAATGTCAATAAAAGACAACATTACAATGAAAACAAAAAGAACAGAGAAAACATGAAAACAATGAAATGAATAACATTGGTACGGTGTTAGGAGAACAACATTTCGAAGTCCTCTTCAGCTGTTTCTTACGTCACATTGCACACGTACCGCATGGCTTTTAAAGTAAAAGGTAAACCCATGGACCGGCTAAGTAGTTTCAAAGAAAAAAAAAAAGCTGAAATTGCTGATAAATTTCTTTTTCCCTCATTTTTTTTTGTATGTCACCAAATGAAGTAAAAAGACGGCGCTATGGTGCACCGCTTTTAGTTCAAGTTATAAAATTAAGTTGAATTCAAGGGCATGCGTAGTATAACTAACATGATGATAAGCTTAATAACTACGAGTAGTTATATTTATCTTTGTTCATAGTTATAATTACCTTTGTTCTTTAGCGTTTCGTTTATATACACCGCGTGCTGTTTTGTAGGGTGTTCAGTTTGCCATGAAAATTTGATGAGTATTAATCAATCTATTTCATAAATAGACATGATCAAATCATAAACCCAACCCTTCCCTTTCAAAACGAAAAAAAATTTTTTTAAGAAATGCTGTGGATCTTTTTAAGTACAAGTTCAAGTTTGGTCATCCAGGATCGCGAAAAAACTTTACCTTTCTTAAAAAGTCTCTGTTAGATTTCATCGGTTTACATACATTTTTGTAATGTAAATCAATTTGTAAGAACAAACCGCCATTAACTTCACTTCCATATGTAAAGGAGAGAAATTTTCTTTTTTAATAAAAATTTCTTGATACTTTCGGAGTATATTTTCAGCAATCAAAAGTTAAATTCCCCCGTTGATATGCCAGTGCGGCAGTCATTCAAACTTCCAGCTTCTTGTCCGGCGTTAAAATTTTTGAAACCAAACTGCTTCAGAGGACGCTAATGTAATATGTCTGAAAAGACCATAGACTGAGCTTTAAATTCTTTATTATCATTAGACACTCCGTTGATTTTCAAAAAATTGTATTCTGCCCGACTTTTCTTTATTGCCCTTAACACTACTGAATGACATTATTCTAGTCTCCATAATTTAAATTTGACCTGTATTGTTTCCTTGTTTCACGATCGCTAGAATCTGAGGAATACAAAAACGATTCTTGTTAAGCTGACCGACAATAAACAGAAGTTCAAGGTTTGGCCGAGTAGACTTTGTAAAACTTTCCTAACTTTTCCAAAAGAACTGTCAAAACACACGTCTCGTGTTCTTTGTTCCATTTTATTTTCACTCACATTCTTTGCTTACTCCTGGTGCGACATACCGAAAGGCTGATGGAATATCCAACAAAAAATAGGAAAAAAGAGTTCGAATCACAAAGCCTTTGCAATTGTATATTTTTCATCGCCATTTCCAGCATGGTCCAAAAAATATCTTCACTTATCACACCAAGAAGTGTGCATAGTCCCCCAAATATTTCTATATGTTCTATTCCATGACAGTCCAGTGTTTCTAATGCAGAATTTTCCACCGTGTTCTGTACTTAAATCCGTAATTTACCATTAGTCTTCGGCAGAATCGATAACGAAGTAAATCCAAAGCATTAGGTTGATCATAAGAAATGTCAATGGAAACAATATTCTACTGCGGCTGTCAATCCTTTGTACATTGACGTCTTGCTCCCCAAATAACTTAATTTTCTCCCGCAAAGAAGACAGTTGACGCTGCAAGTATTTCGTCTTGAGATCACCGCCTTCTCCATCACCTGTGTCACTCTAGTAGATAGAGTATCATGTCAGGAAATTAACAGTGGATGAACAGCAGATAAACCATGCAAATAAGCATATATGTGTAGACCTGAATACGAATCCATTTTAAAAAATGTGTTTGCAGAAGACAGAGAGAGAGCAGAACAAAACGAACATAAATGTAGAACGAAAGGGTAACATCCAAATCAGAGGTGCTATTCGAATGAGGTTCACAGAATCTATTTTATTTACCGATACGACAATTTAAATTGAGTGGGCGTAAGGACTCGTTGTTTGTATCTTGATTCGCCTTACGGGCTCGTCAAAATACGGCACAACCCGTAAAAACACTCAGAGATACTACACACCAAAACGTCTAATAAGATATATATTTACATATTCCCCTCTATGCCACGGAATTTGCAAGGTGCGTTGTTTTCCCCTTAAGTAATCGATTTATATAAGTTAAAAAAGACGGACACACAAACTAAGAATAATAAAAGTGATGATGACAACGGTAACTATCATGATGATGAAAATGGAATCATTATGACAAACCCCTTTTTCCACGTCAACATTCCTAAGTTTCCTGTTCAATTTATCTTTCTTTCTCGTCTCCAAGCTATCATGGAAGTTGATGATGGCAAATTCAACCAGGGCGCCAAATACATACACTAGACACAGCATCAGTATCCAATCACTGTACTTTGTGTAAGTTACTCGAGGCAGAGAATTCTGAACTGCTGCGGTAAGAGTTATCATGGTAAGGACCTGGAAAAGACGTGGAATCTTCTGTGACAACCTATACGCTTTCTTTAATAATCATTTCTTCGATGTGCTGATGAACTTACAGTTCTGTTATTGTCATTACTTTTAGTCATGTCTCACCGTTGTAATACAGAGCGCAACTCTTGCAGGCGCTGCCTTGTAGTTTATCCAAAACGATATCCAGGACAAGGCCACAATTATAATAGATGGGATGTACGTCTCCGTTATAAACAAACTTAGTCTCCTCTTAAAAGTAAACGTCAAACTAAGTCTTGAATAGTTCCCTGAAAGTAAAATCGTGGGTGAGCATCAATGCAATGGGGTCTGATAACTGAGTTTGTTTTTAGGTCTTGAGATTTAATTATAAATGCATAGAAGGCAACCACTTTAGGTTATCAGTTAGTGTTTTGATAAGGAGATTTATTTACCATTATCCCTACTTATAGCCTCATGTGACCATTGTTTTAAAGCAGTATTTCAGGGTACAGATAGAAATTGGTCCATTTGATCTGTTTTAATAAGCCAAAATGAAGAGCAATAACTCCAAGGGGGGATTGTTTGTCACTGGGCAGAGTTGGATTACGTTCGCAATTGATTTCCAGGAAAGTATATTTTTTTTTCCAAATAGGATGATGATACAAGAAATGCGTAGATTTTTTGTTTGTTTGTTTTGCTCTAAGTCCTTGTTGTTGGTCCTACCTGTGGAGTACACATCTGTTGTCTCCGAACTTTGGATTTTCACTAAATCCATCTGTGGGAGGGAGATATCAGGAGCTTGTTCTATTGAATGCTCGTGACCCCTTTTCCACGTGTATATGGCATCAGCCTCTGAGTAAGAATCTAAGGGCAAATGCAAGATTGTTTACAGTTGTGCATCATGAAATCTTAAAGGGAATTTTACACTAAACAAGTAGGCGAAGTGAAAGTCAAGCCCCACCTTCCAGGTCCTGTTGACACTATTTCAAAGAAGAAATAAAATATTAAAAATAATACGATTATTACTATCAACAGACGCGTTAATGTGGCCCTCCAAAGATGAACGAAAAGAAACCGTCTAAAAAAAGTGTAGGTTTATTTACTTCGCTTCTCTTATAACATAAGATTATAAAATAACAACTATTTTTCCTCTTACAGCTGACGATGTTCAGTTCACACTTTTGACTGTCCATGGGGTACTTGCGTAGCTTCATTCGACAAACACCAGTGACTGAAATCCTGCAACAGAGTACTCTCTGTTATTTGCGAATCAAAAGTCTTTTGCTAGTATACCCTAAAATCATTGATTAACTTATCGATGAATTGCCACTCGGAATTGTAATGACGATTTTAACCACGATAAAAAAGAATTCCATTAGAGTACCTGCAGCTTGGTCTTACCTTATACTAAAGAATACTGTTCCATTGGGCCAAAATATCAACACATAATTTTTCTTAGTGATCTCGTGGAAATTTGACCTCTTTTCACTATTAAAATAAGTGTCTGGGATCCAAATTTTGTCCAGTAGGTCTCCTTGAGCCACAATCTGAGAGGTGCCATTGAATCTGAGCCGAGGATCCTCCCATGTTTGACGAAAATACATTGTCATTCTATAATCCTTTTTAATAGAATTGGAGAAACAAAACACAATCAGCTAAGTGAAAAACAGAGCAACAAGAAAACAAACAAAAAAGGCAAACAAAAAAACGCATTTTGAAGTATACATGTAGGGCTTCCATTTATCTCAACGCTGATCACTGAATCTGAAAATTTTCCTTTAAATTGACAGATACATTAATTCAGTTTGGCTTTTTTTGCATTAACAATATGAAATTAAAGGTAATCTTTTTATTATTGAACTCTAGTTAAATAACCTGGTTTTTATCTTGCTGAAGGACTCAAAATATCTGCTCCCTCACCATATAAGCCTCCTTAATTTTGCTTATTAGGTGCTGAAGAAGATTGGATTGCATTTTGCCCTTGTCTTTTATCAGAATCGGTATCTTTTTTTACTAAAAGCCTTATTAATCAGAACTAAAATATCTTACCATATTGGTCACCGAAATGTCACCAATATCAACAATGTATAAGTCAACGTAGACGGTTACTGGCCTTCCTAATGAAATAAAGATAAAAAGGAAAAAAAATGGCATGCGTGCTTTTTCCTTAATGTCATTTTCTGCTGCTATTTTTATCACTTTGCTCCTTTTAAAAGAGTATAAACCTATGGGCTACTTTGTTATTCGAATTTTTCGCCTTTTTTGTTGTCGTCTGGAGGTAAGGCTTCCTCCTATAGGGGGATATCCTTTTTAAACAAATTATTATGATAATCAAAAAGAAAACGAAATGTTATCTAAGTCGTGTCCTCCAAAAGATGCGCAGTCGCTTTATAATTTTTCCTCATGGTGTCCTTGGCAATTAAATTTATTATCTTCATTCCAAACAACTGAGGTGAGAAAGAAAATCAAATTCAGATAACTGCAGTTCTCCTTTCAAAATCTTACCTCCAAACTTTGGTCTCAGTCTCTTGTCATGGCTATTTAACAGTAAATTCAAAGTATTGGTGGCGTTCGCTGTTCTTTCTGTCTCTAGGTCATGACTGGGACGAATTCAAGAAAAGTTACAACATCACGAAGGAAATAATTCAAAGGAATTAATGAAAGCTAATACTGAAAATATCGCTATGAGAAGACAACATCAGAGTGGTAATAAACAAGAACGATTGTTTGTCTTTCAGGGATGGCCACCATACAGAATGAATCTGAATTTTAAGCAGAATGATACTCATTATCCATAGTTTTTTTGGTATGAATTTCAAGCCAATTAGCGAGACATAACTTTCTATTTTTGCCAAAACAATCGCTTGGCAAAAATTGAATGCTTCCAAGTTTTGAAGCCGAAAATACCTACAGTGTTGAGAGTAAGTCCAAAAAAAAATTGATCATTGAGCCCACCAACAGATCATTATCTCGCCGAAACTGATGAATATATATAAGTGCGGTTTTTTTTTTCATAAGCCTTTCTGCTTCTGAAAATAGATTGCAAAATCACCACATTGCTGTACCATTTTCCTTGACAAAAAAAAGAAGAACGGTTCGTAAGAAAATGTGGCCATTTATCTAAGTAGTATACGAACAGTCCGGTCAGATTAATGGAGATTAAGGCTTACAGAAATCAATATCCATCGTTTGCTGACCTCGCCATTTTGTCACGCCTGGTCTACGACTCAGAAATGAAGATGCTCGAGAATGGAGTGGAAAATTAGATAAAATTAATTGCAATCCATGTTAATGATACAGAGTGATTTATTACCACGTTTCCTCTGAGTTTATCAGTGATATACTCAGTAGGATTACCCTGATCCCAAAATTATTTTACGATTGATGGACAGAGATCAAAGCTAGTGGGATGATTTGGTATTGGCCATGAGTACATAGGAAAAGTCATCTAACAACGGACGTCATAGAGGTAAAGCGTTAGTGGGTCTTCTCGATGACCGTGCAATACTCACTTTGTGAGCTAAACATATGTACTTCAAAAACACCCTTAAAAGACTTACTCTTCATGATTTTGTTCCGCAAATGTCGCCGGGTCAAAAATTAAGATTATGACTGAAAACTCCAGCCAGAAGATGTGACCAAACATGAAGGAACAGTTACTACAACCGATTAAGGCGCTGTTGATCCGTCTGAAGGGTGAAGCGGAACACCTGTTATGAAAATCACAAGAGTTAAGAGTTCATAAATTTTATAAAATGAGTAACATTCATTGGTAATCAGACGTGACCTGTTTTGAAATAGTTAATATGTATTAATCATTTATAATACACTCCAGGTTGGGGATAAGCAAAATAGCGAAAAAAAGTATGGTAATGACAACAAAGAAATAAAAATTAAACCAAAAGCCTACACCTTTTTTTATACCTATGGGTTTAGAGTTTACTTCTTTTTATGAAAAATTTATTATTATTGGCGATGTCTCAGTTCTCAGACATTATTTATACATGAAAATAAAACATGCTTTTTTTCTCAAAGAAATATGATGATGAGAATTTTTCTTTTCAGGCCAAGTTACGGAAATATGCGAACCTTTTTCAATAAATGGATAAATGACGTGTGCATTTTCCAATAAGAAATTTCTTCCAGGTAAATTACATAATGTTTTCAACTAGAAAATAGTTGATGGACAAATATTGACCAAAAAAACGGGAAGGGCTGATAGATAGACTGACAATATTGATCAAATTTCCATACCGTTGATCTAAATTTGAAAGCTGTTTAAAGAAAGTTAAAAAAAAAAAGTCATTTATTGAAGAGGAAAATTAAAAAGGATTCATACCATAAGATTAAGAAAAAAATTGATATTATAAATCAACCATAGAAAAAATATATCATCCACAAATCTTTGAATTCTTGAAACGAAAGATTCAAAGCCTGCCAATGATTTAAAATTTGCAAATTATATCTAAAAGAATCTAATTAACTGATAACTCCGTAATCAATTACGAGCATAAGTTTAAAGTAAATGGAATTCAGATTTGATAGGACCAATTTCCACTTTAGTACGCGTTTTCCTGGTTAAAATGAATAGGCTATATTTAGTCGTTCGGAAAGTTACTTGTTGGTGATAAGGATGACTTGTATCATGCATGGAGGTTACGACTGATGGTATTGGGCTTTTTTGAAACGAAAGATAATTTAAAATTTGCAAATTATATCGGAGATAAATATTCCACAAATCACAGATATTCAATAGCTTGTTTGCTTAACTTTTTATTTGGTCGTAATGAACCATAGATAAGATTTTCGGTTATTCTGGCTGTTGTCTCCTCACTTTAGCAACAGATAGTTTTAAATTGACCTCGAATAATTGGGCACAGAGCAGTTTTCAATTAACGAAAAAGCCACACCAAAGTAATTACAAGTACAAAGACTAACATCGCTCATCATTGACCAAAGAGAACTTAAGTAACAACGGCAGAAAGGAAGCTAGAAATAGTCAAACTATGCTAGTAAAAGAAAAGGTGCAACATTCTCTCCACGTTACCGAGAAATTTTGTTACCGAATTTACTTTGTTATTTATCTTGTCCCCCCTTCTTCCCTTTTTTTGTTTTACATTTTACACGTTGCACAAGACATGCATCTCAACGAAACCAAAAGAAACCTGAACTAAAAGGAAGGTTAGTTGCAATTTAAAATTACGAACCATTTTCACATTAATATTTATAAGTGAAGTTTGTTTCCTTTACAGAACAGGTATTCGCCGTTGGAGGTTATTTGTTCCAACAAATAAAATAAATCACAGCTAGATTTTTAAAACAAACTCTGCAAATAGACCATAAAAGTCTAAAAAATGACATCTCGAGCTTGACAAATCAAGCACTCGGTGATTCATATGAAGATGGATATTTTTGTCAGTCGTTAGCGAATTCCAGTTCAAAGCTTGCTTTAATTGAAAGTTGATAAGCTATCAGAAACATAATGATAGAAATGCGTTGCCATTCGCATTTTGACTTACGAGGTTTTGGATTAAAATCAATACAACCTGAAAATTAGTCCATGAAATTACTAATGCAGAGCCAGGAACCTATCGATGTTAAAAAGGAAAGGAAAAAAAGAAAAACGGCACTTTTCCGATCTGTTCATTAAAGGAAGGAATGGAAGTGAAGTCGTGGACTTCAGAATTTAAGCGTAAATTTAGATCGAGTGACGCTGGTAACGATGGAATTAGGTGGCCTGTAATAATTTCTTTGCACCTTAAGCGTTTCCAGTTAGTAGAATTCGGATGGCATTCAAAGGAAAAAACGAATGGTTTAGGAATTGAACTTTTTACGCTTAAAGAACACCTCACCTTGTGCCGAGTCCTCACTTCTGCCACCACCGTTGAGAATTTTAAGATATCATTCCGGATTCAAGAACACAAGTCTAGAATTTTCCCTCTTCCCTTAAATATCGTATGCAAGTAATTGATCCGTTTAAGGTGTTGCAGCATTGTTTCGTGTAGGCTCTGATTTCGGTCTTATTGATATGGATCATGTCAAATGCCTTGTTTTGATTTTCATGGCGAACTTGTTTTTGTTATCCCGCTGAGATTTTAGTGAATGTCTCAATTCATTTGTCATAAATTAGACTGAAAGTATTAGCCACTAATGAATTTTTCCCCCTCTCTAACGGGCAGACCAAAACAGAATATATGAAGAAAAACGCACTTAGGTGTCTGAAAATGTCGCTAGAAATCCCAAAACCAAATATAATACTTGAATACTTAATGATTGGCTGATTCCTAAAGCCACAACTTCACAAATCGATGTCAAAAGTTTTTTTAGTTTGGACACTTTTGTATGGAAAATCTTTCCGCCGCAATTGAATGCTTGGGCATTCGAAATTATCGTAAAAGATCCCTCTATTGTCGTTAGCGCAAAACGGAAAAACGCGCTAAGTGCATCGATGAGTTACGTAAACTCATGGAAGCTAGAGAAGGTTCGGCATTCTCATTACGTCACAAAAATTTAAAAATATTTGTGTATTCGAGTACAAGAAAATTCCTTTTTAACAACCAGGTACAGCACTTCTAAACGAAGACAGGCATGTCCTTTTACACATGGAAAAACACATACTACTCCTGTATCAATTAGTTTTTGATATCACCATCTGCTGGACTTCTTCTGAGGTAATATTTGGGCGCCAACATAACTTTTTAACGAAAACTTTTGCTCAGATCGGACATCATCTCGTGGAAACGCACACGGATAAGTTTTCACTTCAAAAAGGATAAGTAATGCAACGATTACTGGTATTTGTCTCTCTTACGGCTTTAGATCTCGTGTACGGTAAAGGTAAGTGGCTCTGAAATAACCTGTTTCCTTATTTTTTTCTTTTCAGGACGTGTTGGTAAGTCTAGGTATCTCTTTCTCACGCGCTGCGCTTTTTTTCCAGAGATTTAGGATCGAAGAGGAAGCTAACTAGTTATAATCCAATAGTTGAACGTGTCTTTTGATTTTGCCTTAGTTGTAATAATTCATATAGAGTTTAGTCGATGATAATTGTTATTCCACTGTTTGTTAAAGCTATTACTATCACTGTCATCCTCAAACTAAGTTTTCATCGCCATAAAACATTTTATCTCAGTGCAATATTGGTATGCCAGTCTAAGAACTTGAATCATTGCTTCGATAACGATGATGATATCATTAAGCAAACAAGCTACCTATTATAGCTAAGTTCAGGTAAAAAAAAAGAGATATTATACATCATGTGGATCAGTATCTGAGGAATCATCTACCGGTAGCTAATAGTTGTGCGATTAGGTAGGTAGAGTACGATAGAAATGGAACAGGTACCAGCCTTAAGACGTATTTGTTTAGCTTTCAACCACCGACTTAAACCATCAAGGAAACCCTTGAACCAGTACAACACCGGTACCAATAAGATTCTTTGATCAGGGTAAATGTTTGGAAATAATTTTTTCCCCTCCTATTACGAGGCAGACTTTCACGTGTAACGCTTTCAAACAGAAAAGCCAAATTAGGCTGGTACAAGGAACCAGAACAAGAAATTAATACGCCTCATCTTTACAACAGAGAAAGGCTCGAAAATGAACGTTAATTAGCGATCCTAACTATATCCGAAATTCTAAAACGGTGCAGGTAGAATTTAGGACAAAAGAACTAATTCTGTTTGCTGCTCTTTGCAGATGATGGATGTGTTACCTTAACCGATGGAGACAAATCTTTCAATGGGGAAATCGAGTATGTCCCCATGAAATGGTTTGAAACGCCCTCGGTTGTTCCTTTAAGTCCAGGTATTACAAATGTTTATCCAAATAAGCCACTTCTGTTAATTGGGACGTTTTCGAAACACTAACATTCCAGTTAGAGTATAGCATATTTTTATTTTCTATAAAAACAGTCCTCCAACAATGCCCAAAGTGTGATTAGTCTGTTGGGAAGATCTTTCAAACATCTGTTGTCCGTGTTTGTCCGTGACGGATATTCACCCCTTGACGACCTGATCGATCTGAAGTCAGGATCGTTTACCAGAAAAATTTCCGCTTGAGAAACCGAGGTGAAACATTGAGCCGTCTTCATACCCATTGCCCTGTCTTTGAGGTGAATAATGATGTGCTATTCTCCTCCCCCTCCCCCTCCCCCTTAAGCAACAAATCTGATCTACCGATGAGTTAGTATATAAAGATGACTATTTTCCTTCCTTTTTCATTTTTTTTTTTTCATGAGAAGCATGTACAGGAGAAACAGCACTTGGGTTGGAAAGTGGTCTCGTTACATTCCAGCAAATGACGGCATCCTCCACCTTCAAGAAAAATCACGGTCCATCTAACGGAAGACTCAATCACGCGGCTGCAAATGGAAAAACAGGCGCCTGGTCAGCTGGGGCTAATGATACAAATCAGTGGCTTCAAGTGGATTTTGGAAGAAATGTCAGAATTACAAAGCTCGCTACTCAAGGGCGTCAAGACTACGATCAGTGGGTGAAGACATTTACTCTTTCATACACTCTTGATGGCAACCCTTCTTTTCAGATTTACCAGGAGAATGGGGCTGAAAAGGTCTGGTGAAGTATATCTTGCCTGATAAACATTCCAGTCAAACATAATTTCTCATACTTTTCAAGTATTCAAAGTTTTATAAAAGAAATACAATTAACTTGAGAATTTGCTGCGAAAATTTAATTTGAGTTGTAAAAAAACAAACTTCGCTATTGAAACAAACAAAGACATTAAAATCAAAATTTTGGATTGAACAGAGAATTGCTCATGTTTTAACGAGAAATGTAATTAACTAAAAGTCGAGAGTCAGTTCTTAACAAAAATGTCATGACTGTTTCTGCAAAGGTAAAGACAGTTTTTCTCCTCGTTTGCCATCCTGTTCAGGTTTTTAACGCAAACAAGGACAGGGACACCATCGTGAATCATGTACTAATTCAGCCAATCATAGCCCGGTCCGTCCAAATAAACCCAAAATCATGGAATGGTCATATCTCCATGAGAGCAGAGTTTTACGGGTGCATCCTTTCAGGTAATGTCTGAGGTAATTTGTTTGATCGACAAGAAATACTAAGGTTTCTCTTTTTCGTGTTGGATTAGGAGTGTAGAACTCATTTTTTTTTATCGTGGCGTTGATGTGTGATAGGACTCTGCCCTTCTTTTATTCAGCTTAACCTTTCTGAACTACTGAGACAATAACTATTTTGTGAAGTTGCAAACAAAGGCTATTTATACAGCTACCGAATTTTAAAGAGGGAAGAACCTCTAGAGAGATTTGCATCGACTTTGTTAAGAAAGAGTTCTTAAGATCAACTGATTTTCCGTTGGTTGTGCAATAGACCGATACCAAGTGTTGGGCCGAGTAGTGCACATGGATTTCGTAAAAGAGCAACTAAAAACAAAGAAAAAGGTCAACTTTGGAGACTCCCAGGAACAAACTAATGGAATCGAGCTTGCAGTCATGGCAGATACCATTTATGTGAAGGTGCGTTTGACAGTTTTGTACTTAAGTCTAGCCAACGCCACAATGGGCGCCTAGGGAGCTTATCGTTTATTTTTTTTCGTGTTCTAGTCGGAGGGCTTTTTGAACATAGCGGGATTATTAAAGAGGTGCTTCATTAAAATTAGCTGAGGGCTGTAATAAATATTATGCATATAGTATATTCCTCATTTTGAAAACCGACGATTTTGAACTTGGAGATAGTGAAATTATGAAAACATAAAGTTAGAAATCAGGGAGACCTATTAAGTTAGTTACAAAAGTGCGAAAAACCTCTTTGGTAAACAGTTATTTCAAAATTACATGATACACGAGGAACTGACCTGACAAATAGGAACGCATGAATTAATACTTATCAATAGTATGTTAATAGATACGATTGTGTAATTATTCGAATTTTCAACCTTTGATCAATGATTTGTTACACAGGGAGACATTAAAATGCGTGGCACCAAGAAATTGACAATGTTCAGCCGTAAGCTTTCATTTTTGAAAGGAAGTAAACTGGATCTCAGAGCTCCAGATCTGCTACAAACCTTTGATAAACTTGAACCTGGCGCTGATGGAAAGGATGGCAACCATGGTGTAAATGGGACCATAGGTAAAAAGATGGCTTTAAGTGCAGCCCGTAATCTCTGTTCTAATAATGTATGACGTAAGGGAGTTTCAGTACCAAGGACGCTATGGCAACGTAATATGTCAGAAATGTGCTAGAAACCTCTTGAGTGTGAAAATAGTGACAGTGGCAATGATCTTCACATTTAGAGTGATGAATATGATGAATATTTTGAAGGTCCCACCTTACGTCTCTTTTTTAGAATCCCAGCTGCCGTAAGTTCTGCTTTCTTAAAGATATTTTTCCCTTATTATCAGTGGAGATATCAGCCCATACTGTCGTAGGATACATCAACATCATAACTAACGGCGGTAATGGAAACAAAGGCCAAAATGGCGCGGATGGGAGGAAAGGGGCTGACAGCATGGCAAAGGTATAAAAATTAGGAAACACCCACTTTTATGCCAGTGGCATATGTATTTAAATTTTTATGCGTTTGTTTGTCTGTTTGTCTGAATATCTCTCTATTTGTTACCAAGTAATCCCATCTACCCGATTATAATCAGAACCACCAAGGTTTCACTGTATCAATAACGAAATCTCGCTCAAAAATTTTATCGGCAAAATGGATGGACGATTATCACTCAGAAAAGAAAACAGATATGATAAGAATGACCTTTGACTTCCGGTGATATAGCCACATCTTTGTATGTTTATCTGTATGTGACACTAAAGAGTCTATAGATTCATACAATGGTAAGGTAATTACAAGTGAGCTTTTTCCAATTACAACAGGAGCTGGATAAAACACAGTCAGACTGTAATGCCCATACTAAGAGGAATGACAAGGGCAAAGTCAC